TCCAATTGTGACCCCTTGTTTCTGTGTCTCATCTATGGAACATCCTGTCTCTCCACCTCAATTCCTTGCAGTATTTTGTATGTCATTATCATGTCTCCCCTAGCCCTCTTGTCCTCCAGTATCGTCAGGCCAATTTTCCTTAATCTTTCTTCGTAGGACAATCCCCTTAACTCTAGAACTAGCCTTGTTGCAAATCTTTGCACTTTCTCTAATAATGACTCGTTGTTGCCTCCCTGTCAGATATTCTCTGATTCATTGCAGCGCCCTTCCTGTTATACATGCCTGATCCTCTAGCTTTTGCACTAATCTCTTGTGAGGAACTGTATCAAAGGCCTTCTTGCAGTCCAAGAAAATGCATTCTACCTACCTCTCTCGTGTCTTACTTTTGTTACCATGTCACAAAACTCCAGTAGGTTTATGACACAGGATTTGCCTTCCATGAATCGGTGCAGGTTGTCGTTTATAAGCTTTTTCCGTTTTAGGTGCTCCAGCACTCTCCTCATGATAATCTTCTCCATGACTTTGCATGCTATACACTTCAGTGACACTGTTCTATAGTTTAGTGCCTCTTGTCTGTTTCCTTTCTTAAAAATGGGGACTACATTTGCCGTCTTTCGTACCTCAGGTAGTTTGCCAGTTTCAATAGATGTGTTGAAAATTGTTGTTAGTTGCACACACAGCATCTCTGCTTCCTCTCTAAGGACCACTGAGAGGTGCCCGGTCCCACCGCCTTTGAAGTATCAAGGTCACTTAGCAGCTTCTTCACCTCCTCCTTGGTTGTGTGCATTTCATCCAACACTTGTTGGTATATCCCTTGTTAAGTAAAAGGACACAGGTGCAACTAATGTGACATTTTATTGTGGCAACGTTTCGCTCTCCAGGAGCTTTGTCAAGCCGGTATATCCCTTGTTGGTGTACCCCCCTATTCTAACTTCCCAGAATCCTTTCTGTCTCCACTGTAAATACTCATGTTGAGCTCCTCACTTCTTGGTCGTTTCTTGTGAGCTCCCCATCTTCTTTCTTCAGCGTGTGTGTACTCACCTAATTGTGGTTGCAGGGGTCGAGTCATAGCTCCTTGCCCCGCCTCTACACTGGTTATTACTAGGTTAATCTTCCTGCTCCATGAGCTTTATCATACCTCTGTGTGTATGGATCCTGCCTTCACTACATCACTTCCCAGACTGTTCCACTTCCTGACAACTCTGTGACCGAAGAAATACTTCTTAACATCCCTTTGATTCATCTGAGTCTTCCACTTCCAACTGTGATCCCTTGTTGCTGTGTCCCATCTCTGGAACATCCTGTCTCTGTCCACCTTGTCGATTCCTTTCAGCATTTTATATGTCGTTATCATATCCCTATCTCTCCTGTCCTCCAGTGTCGTCAGGTCGATTTCCTTTAACCTCTCGTAGGACATGCCCCTTAGCTCTGGGACTAGTCTTGTTGCAAACCTTTGCACTTTCTCTAGTTTCCTTGCGTGCTTGGCTAGGTGTGAGTTCCAAATTGGTGCTGCATGCTCCAGTATAGGCCTAATGTACACAGTGTACAGTGTCCTGAATGATTCCTTATTAAGATGTCAGAATGCTGTTCTTAGGTTTGCTAGGTGCCTGTATGCTGCAGCAGTTATTTGGTTGATGTGCTCCTCAGATGTGCCCGGTGTTATACTCACCCCAAGATCCTTTTCTGTGAGTGAAGTTTGTAGTCTCTGGCCTCTTAAACTGTACTTCGTCTGCTGTCTTCTTTGCCCTTCCCCAATCTTCATGACTTTGCACTTGATGGGGTTGAACTCCAGGAGCCAGTTTCTGGACCAGGCCTGCAGCCTGTCCAGATGTCTTTGTAGTTATACCTGGTATTCATCCAATTGATTTCTTATCAACTTCATATCATCTGCAAACAGGGACACCTCTAAATCTATTCCTTCTGTCATGTCATTCACAAATACCAGGAAAAGCACCGGTCCTAGGATTGACCCCTATGGAACCCTGCTCGTCACCGGCTCCCACTTTGACACCTCGCCATGTACCATGACTCGCTGTTGTCTTCCTGACAGGTATTCCCTGATCCATTGTGGTGCCTTCCCTGTTTTCCCTGCTTGGTCCTCCAGCTTTTGCATTAATCTCTTGTGTGGGACTGTGTCAGACGACTTCATACAGTCCAAGAAAATTCAGTCTACCCACCCCTCTCTTGTCTTACTGCTGTCACCCTGTCATAGAACTCCAGTATGTTTCTGACACGGGATTTACCATCCCTGACACCGTGCTGGCTGTCGTTGATAAGGTCGTTCCTTTCTATGTGCTCCATTACTCTCCTCCTGATAATTTTTCCATGACTTTGCATACTGTACATGTCAGTGACACTGGTCTGTAGTGTAATGCTTCGTGTCTGTCTCCCTTTTTAAAAATTGGGACTACATTTGCTGTCTTCCATACCTCAGGTAGTTGCCACGTTTCAATAAATGTGTTGAAGATTGTTGTTAGTGGTACACATAGTGCCTCTGCTCCCTCTCTCAGGACCTATGAAGAGATGTTATCCAGCCCCATCGCCTTTGAGGTATCTAGCTTGCTTAGCAGCCTCTTCAGCTCTTCCTCAATTGTATTTATTGTGTCCAACACTTGATTGTGTACCCCACCTCTCCATCTTTCTGGAGTCCATTCTGTCTCCTCTGTGAACACTTCCTTGAATCTCATGTTGAGCTCTCCACATACTTCACGGTCGTTTCTTGTGATCTGCCCTCCTTCCTTCCTCAGCCTGATTACCTGGCCCTTGACTGTTCTCCTGATGTGGCTGTACAACAGCTTTGGGTCAGATTTGGCTTTCGCTGCTGTGTCATTTTCATATTGTCATTTGGCCTCCCTTCTTACCTGTGCATATTCATTCCTGGCTCTACGGCTGCTCTCCTTATTCTCCTGGGTCCTTTGCCTTCTTTACTTCTTCCATTCTCCAGCACACTTGGTTTTGGCCTCTCTACATCTTTGGGTGAACTACGGGCTCATCCTGGCTATCTCGTTATTTCTGTTACCCTTGGGCACAAACCTCTCCTCATTTTCTTTGCATATCTTTTCACATATTCCATCAGCTCGTTTGCTGACTTCCCTGCCAGTTCTCTGTCCCACTGAACCCCATGCAGGAAATTCCTCATCCCTATGTAGTCTCTTGTAGTTTGGCTTCATTCGTCCTTCCTGCTTCCCTCTCCACTTGTAACTGTACTATTTATTCGAAGCTCAGAACCATATGATCATATGTGATGTCCTCATTGTCTGCACTACTCAAGGTGAATACTAGGTCTAGTCTTGCTGGCTCATCCTCTTCACTCTGGTAGTGCTCCTTACGTGTTGGTACATGAAGTTTTCCAGTACCACCTCCATCATCTTAGCCCTACACGTTTCTGTGTGTGTGTGTGTGTGTGTGTGTGTGTGTGTGTGTGTGTGTGTGTGTGTGTGTGTGTGTGTGTACAATATTCTTTTATATGTATGACATGTGCAACACTGGGAATTTTTATTGAGGGAACGTTTCACCCGTTACAGACTTTAGTTGAATACAGAGATGAATCATACTGCTGAATACTTCAGCCTTGGGTGCTCCAAGTCTGATGTCCTGATTACATCAAACTACGTTCCTACTTCGTTTACTTTGTCTTCAGTTAAGGCTGATGTCTCAGGAGTGTGATTCATCCACATTCGTCTGATGAACCCTTCAGGGTAAGCGAAAAGTTTGGTCAGTAAAGATTCCCAGTGTTGCACATGTCTTACTGCATCTAGACAGTCCACGGGATGGATATAGGGTGCACAATAAACTAAACGCTTCGACGGCAAAATCTAATCTTACTCATCTGCTTGTCGGTATTGTATACCATTTATAATGTGATGTGTGTGTATGCATGTGTATTAACTATCGGCCTTCTTCCACTGAGATTGGGTGAATCCCCCCCCCAAAAAAAAAAGAGCGTTTACAATCATTCCTTAAACCATGCCACGGGTGGGGTTTGAACCCGCGGTCAGAGTCTCAAAACTCCAGACCGTCGCGTTAGCCTATGGTACCTATGCTAACCTTCCTATGGTGTAGAAATATACCTAGTTGGATTAATATTATTGAAGCTAGCTGGCCCAGTGGCTAACGCGACGGTCTGGAGTTTTGAGACTCTGACCACAGATTCAAAACCCACCCGTGGTATGGTTTGTTTTGCAATCGTGTCATTACGATTTCGTGAGCCAACCATTCGTTCATTAACTGTCTTGCCAGAGGTGTACTGACTTCTTAGTTCAGATGGTCCTCGGAACTGGAAGATCCTCACCTCCTCATTGAGAGTGCACTGTGTTTCTCGCCTCCACGATTAGATGCCAGCAAATCTGTTTCCCCGAATCCTTTCATTGACATTGTCTTGCTCACACTCCAGCAGCACAAGCCGAAAAATCCTCTCGTCTCTCCCGTTTAACACACTCACCCCTGCAGGATACTCAACCCCCTAGTGCTTAAAAACCTTTACCCTCTTCCTCCAACCCTTCCTAGGATGACACCCCAGCCCTCTTTCCTTCTACCACTGATTTAAATACCCTTTTGATCATCCTGTTCTACACCATCCTTTGTAAATGCCAAACCACCTCAACAATCCCTCCTCGTCTCTCGGAATAATACGTTTGATAACCTCATAGTCTTGTGATTTCTAAGCTCCAGATTCTGTACATAATATTCACACTTTACATTGCTCTCAGATATGACAACTTCCTTCTCGATGTAATGTTTAAAACTCATGTTTCACATTCACTTACAACTCTCCCACTGTACTCTTGCTACATTGCTCATTTTGCCTACAAAGTTACGTTTTCCATAGATAGTTTATCAACCGCCTTCCCTATTTTTCCGTCGTCTGTTCTGTAGTTCACCTCGTCTTATACCCATGAGACATGTCCGCTCCGTAATATCTGAAAACGAACATACGCACGCACGTGCTTCCACTTGTTTGCTCACTTGTATAGCTAACATTAATACAAGAAATGCTTAACTGTTGTAGAAAGTTTGAGAGAGGTGAGGTGTGTGCACGTGGTGGTGGCACTAGTCGTGCTACAGTACTGTTGTGAAGCAGCAGCCAGTGCACACTGATATGGTGCTCTCATAACCCTTGCTTCCCTCCCTCCCTCCCTTCCCTCTCTCCCTTTCTCTCGCAACTCGTATCCACCCTCCTTCACCAACACTTCTTGCTCACGTATTCCAGGTAGACCATTTGATTTCATAGAATATCATTTGCATGTTGATAGAGTGTGTGACACAGGTGAGAATTACAGTTTCATCACAACTTGGTTGTTACCCTGCGAAAGAGCAGGAAATACCAACAACTAGAGTCCTCTCCACTTTATGTACCTCTATTGTTACGCACCATAATTATAATATACTGTGTCACTAGAGGCTGCAATGCAGCTAGAGAAAGTGTCACTTTTATAATGATTTCAGTTCTCCAGAAAAAAATATATATGGTGAGATGGTGAAGGCAGTGAGCGTGAGTCTCAGGCAGTGATAAACACGCACCACACCATCATTATCATCTTAATACGACATGCAGTCATTAGTATTATGTCGTGACACATTAACAAATTATCTGAAGTCCGGCCGTCTTTCACACGTGTTCTATCATGCCATGCATTAATTATATCCAATAATTTAAAAATATTTTTCTCTCTTGATTAGTGCATAATTCGTACAAAGAGCATACATACTGTTGGAGTATTTTATAGAGTTCGTGGGCGGAGTATTTGTGGAGTTATAAGAGCGACACTCACGTGTACATAAGGTCACAGCTCACACCAGACTGCTGCTGCTCACTTCAAGCTGTCAGTTAGTCACTTGTTTAACACTACCACCCTAGTAGAGCGTTTGCTCAGCTTTCGTAAGCTCTACTAAAAAATGAAATTTTAGTGTAAGCTTTTGCTGAGCTGGCTACTGCCTACCTCACTGGGGGAATTTATTGAGGTATACCACATTACATGTATTTGCAGAATGTTATGGAAGAAATTCTATTAAGTTTTGCCAAAGTGATTTTGCATATATTTAAAGGATTAATATGTATTTTATGCCGAGTCAGAAGAGGTTTGTAAGGCTTGAGATGATTGACAACCTTTCAAGGAAGAAGATAGTGCTAGTTCATCGTATCTTAAATTCACTATATTACTGTTGCTAAGTCGTTCAAATGGGAGACTGTTTACGAGTCTTTAATAACGGTGATTTATTTATATATTATAGTGCGCTTGTTGGGGACCTGTTTTCTGTTTGGGCGTCAAAACTTTTTATCCCCATTATTTAATGTTTCATTTATTGGCATTGTAGTATATTATAATAATTTAATTTTTACTAAGTAATGTAACCTAGCACTTTATAAATAACATAATCGAGAAATTTGCAGAAAATCAAGGACGGGTTGGGTAACCGGGGAGGTGTGTGAACAGCTCTGAGACAGGCGTAAGTGAGAGCTTTATATGGATTTAAGTTACTCTGAAGAAACAAACACTACTCGTGGAACTGAGATTACTGGGTGAAGGTTGGACGTTTTTTATGGTGTCCAGCATCCCGGGTCGGTTCTCAGCGTTGTGAAATGACATTTTATGTACTAGTCAGTCACTGTATTCGTAGGAAGATACTCCACTGTGAGGTGACAACCGCATCTGTGTTTGGGAAGTTTGTGTAATAGTGGAAGAACACTGCAGTAGGCCTACTGGCCCATACTGAGCAGTTCTTACTCAGATTCAACTATTATCACCTACATATTTGTCGTCTCTACCCATAGCTACCCAAGAAGTTTGCTTTATTACCTCGGATCCTCATCAAACCCAACTCTTCTCACCCATATTTATCTAACCTATTTTTAAAGCTTCCTACTTGCCAGATTGTTCCACTCATCGACAACTTGCTTTGAAAACCATTGCTTTCTTATTGACCATTCTAAATCTAAACTTACCTAATTTAAAACATATTCTCCAAACCCATTTTCATTTCTGCCCACGGAATAAGCTTTGATAACCCTGTTAACTCAAGTGTCAGTCCCACTCAAATCCAATTCCCCCTCTTACTTACGTATTTATCTAACCTATATTTGAAGCTACTCAAGGTTTTAGCATGAATGACCCTACTAGGCAGACTGTTCTACACATCGACCACCATTTATTTCCAAACCAGTATTTTCCTGTTTTCTAAATCTAAACTTATCCAATTTTAATTCATTATTTCGAGTTCTTTCTTGAAGGGATATCCTCAGACCCTTATTTATATCTCCCTTATTTATGCCCGTCTTCTACTTATAAACTTCAGTCATGTCTCCCCTCATTCTACGTCTTACAAGAGAATTAAGGAATTTCAATCTTTGTAGATGAATGGTTCAGAGAACCGACATGTTGATAAATTAGACACATGTGCAACTCTTGGGTATCTTTATTGAGGAAACGTTTCGCCACACAGTGGCTTCATCAGTCCATACGAAGGAGAATCTTGAACAGGAGGAGAACGAGGTAATCAGTCCCTCAAACTTGAGTCGATGTGGTCAGTCCATCAATCTTGAAAAGAATACAGCATATGTGCGGAGAAGTAGCTTATATACCGTAGGCAGGAGAGGTGCAGCAGTCGTAGGTGGTGTCACATTTGTCTAATGTGGAAGTAGGTCGTGCCCAAGGGTTAGCCCAAGGTCGTGCCCAAGGTTAGCCTATACCAATGATGTGTAGAGCTGTAGTATAACCTTACTAATGATGTGTAGAGTTGTAGTATAACCTTACCAATGATGTGTAGAGTTGTAGTATAACCTTACTAATGATGTGTAGAGCTGTAGTATAACCTTACTAATGATGTGTAGAGTTGTAGTATAACCTTACTAATGATGTGTAGAGCTGTAGTATAACCTTACCAATGATGTGTAGAGTTGTAGTATAACCTTACTAATGATGTGTAGAGTTGTAGTATAACCTTACTAATGATGTGTAGAGCTGTAGTATAACCTTACTAATGATGTGTAGAGTTGTAGTATAACCTTACTAATGATTGTGTAGAGCTGTAGTATAACCTTACTAATGATGTGTAGAGTTGTAGTATAACCTTACTAATGATGTGTAGAGCTGTAGTATAACCTTACCAATGATGTGTAGAGTTGTAGTATAACCTTACTAATGATGTGTAGAGTTGTAGTATAACCTTACTAATGATGTGTAGAGCTGTAGTATAACCTTACCAATGATGTGTAGAGTTGTAGTATAACCTTACTAATGATGTGTAGAGTTGTAGTATAACCTTACTAATGATGTGTAGAGTTGTAGTATAACCTTACTAATGATGTGTAGAGCTGTGTAGTATAACCTTACTAATGATGTGTAGAGCTGTAGTATAACCTTACTAATGATGTGTAGAGCTGTAGTATAACCTTACTAATGATGTGTAGAGCTGTAGTATAACCTTACTAATGATGTGTAGAGCTGTAGTATAACCTTACTAATGATGTGTAGAGCTGTAGTATAACCTTACTAATGATGTGTAGAGTTGTAGTATAACCTTACTAATGATGTGTAGAGCTGTAGTATAACCTTACCAATGATGTGTAGAGCTGTAGTATAACCTTACTAATGATGTGTAGAGCTGTAGTATAACCTTACTAATGATGTGTAGAGCTGTAGTATAACCTTACTAATGATGTGTAGAGTTGTAGTATAACCTTACTAATGATGTGTAGAGCTGTAGTATAACCTTACTAATGATGTGTAGAGCTGTAGTATAACCTTACTAATGATGTGTAGAGCTGTAGTATAACCTTACTAATGATGTGTAGAGCTGTAGTATAACCTTACTAATGATGTGTAGAGCTGTAGTATAACCTTACTAATGATGTGTAGAGCTGTAGTATAACCTTACTAATGATGTGTAGAGTTGTAGTATAACCTTACTAATGATGTGTAGAGCTGTAGTATAACCTTACCAATGATGTGTAGAGCTGTAGTATAACCTTACTAATGATGTGTAGAGCTGTAGTATAACCTTACTAATGATGTGTAGAGCTGTAGTATAACCTTACTAATGATGTGTAGAGTTGTAGTATAACCTTACTAATGATGTGTAGAGCTGTAGTATAACCTTACTAATGATGTGTAGAGCTGTAGTAATAACCTTACTAATGATGTGTAGAGCTGTAGTATAACCTTACTAATGATGTGTAGAGCTGTAGTATAACCTTACTAATGATGTGTAGAGCTGTAGTATAACCTTACTAATGATGTGTAGAGCTGTAGTATAACCTTACTAATGATGTGTAGAGCTGTAGTATAACCTTACTAATGATGTGTAGAGTTGTAGTATAACCTTACTAATGATGTGTAGAGTTGTAGTATAACCTTACTAATGATGTGTAGAGTTGTAGTATAACCTTACCAATGATGTGTAGAGTTGTAGTATAACCTTACTAATGATGTGTAGAGTTGTAGTATACCTTACTAATGATGTGTAGAGTTGTAGTATAACCTTACTAATGATGTGTAGAGCTGTAGTATAACCTTACTAATGATGTGTAGAGTTGTAGTATAACCTTACTAATGATGTGTAGAGCTGTAGTATAAACCTTACTAATGATGTGTAGAGCTGTAGTATAACCTTACTAATGATGTGTAGAGCTGTAGTATAACCTTACTAATGATGTGTAGAGCTGTAGTATAACCTTACTAATGATGTGTAGAGCTGTAGTATAACCTTACTAATGATGTGTAGAGCTGTAGTATAACCTTACTAATGATGTGTAGAGCTGTAGTATAACCTTACTAATGATGTGTAGAGTTGTAGTATAACCTTACTAATGATGTGTAGAGCTGTAGTATAACCTTACTAATGATGTGTAGAGCTGTAGTATAACCTTACTAATGATGTGTAGAGTTGTAGTATAACCTTACTAATGATGTGTAGAGCTTGATTCGATGTTCTCAGTACTTTATTTATATCGCTTTTGTTTATACCTGTCTTCCATTTATATACCTAAATGATATTTACCTCATTCTACGTCTCTCAAGAGACTGAATGTTCAAGGTTCTCAGTCTATCCTCGTATGAGATTCCTTGTATAGTGGATTAGTTTCGTCATATT